ACGCTCAAGGCTTTCCAAAATTTATAATACATTACCGTGAAGCCTATCATGAACATTAATATATCATCCAGATTTTAATATACTAAGGGTTTTGGGGTTTACGATTCAAATCTTGGAAAATATAGGGTTTGGAGATTAAGGGTTAAAGTTGAGGGTTTAGGGTTTAGATTTAAGGTTTACATTTTATGTTTCAGGATGGCTTATAGTTGAAATTTCAGGGTTCAGAGTTTAGAGTTGAAGTTTCAAGGTTTAAGGTTCTAGAATTGATATTTCAGGGTTTAGAGTTGAAGCTTCAAAGTTTAGGGTTTAAAGTTGAAGTTTGAAGATTTAGGGTTCTAGATTTAATGTTTCAGGGTTTAGAGTTTTAGAAATGATGTTTCAGGGTTTATAGTGGAAGTTTCAGGGTTTAAGGTTCAAAGATGAAATTTTAGGGTGTAGGGTTTTAAAGTTCATGTTTCAGTATTTAGGGTTTAGAGTTGAAATTTTAGGGTTAGGTTTTAGAGTTGAAGTTTCATGGTTTAGAATTGATTTTTCAGGGTTTAGGGTTTAAAGTTGAAGTTTCAAGATTTAGGGTTCTAGAACTGATGTTTCAGGGTTTAGAGGTGAAGTTTCAGGGCTTAGGGTTTTAGAGTTGGATTTTCAGGGTTTAGGGTTTAGAGTTGAAGTTTCAGGGTTTAGAGTTGAAGTTTCAGGGTTTAGAGTTAAAGTTTCAGGGTTTAGGGTTTTATAATAATATATTTTCAGGGTTTAGGGGTTAGTGTTGAAGTTTCAGGGTTTAGGGTTTTAGAGTTGATGTTTCAGGGTTTAGAGTTGAATTTTTAGGGTTTAAGGTTTTAGAGTTGATGTTTGAGGGTTTAGAGTTGAAGTTTCAGGGTTTAGGGTTTTAGAGTTGATGTTTTAGGGGTTAAGAGTAAAACATCAAGGTTTAGGGTTATAGAGTTGATGTTTCAGGATTTAAGGTTTAGATTTGAAGTTTCAGGGTTTACGGTATAGAGTTGATGTTTCAGGGTTTAGAGTTGAAGTTTCAGGTTTTAAGGTTTTAGAGTTGATGTTTCAGGATTTAGGGTTTAGAGTTTAAGTTTCAGGGTTTAGGGTTTTAGAGTTGATATTTCAGGGTTTAGGGATTAGAGTTGAAGTTTCAGAGTTAGGATTTTTTAGAGTTGATGTTTCAGGGGTTTAGAGGTAAAACATCAGGGTTTATGGTTAGAATTGATGTTTCAGGATTTACAGTTTTGATTTGAAGTTTCAGGGTTTAAAGTTTTAGAGTTGATGTTTCAGGGTTTAGAGTTGAAATTTTCAGATTTTAGGGTTTTAGAATTGATGTTTCATGGTTTAGGGTTTAGATTTAAAGTTTCAGGGTTTAGGGTTTTAGAGTTAAAATTTTAGGGTTTAGGGATTAGAGTTGAAATTTCAGGGTTAGGGTTTAGCGTTGAAGTTTCAGTAATTAGAGTTTAGAATTGATATTTTAAGGTTTATCATTTAAATTTGAAATTTCAAAGTTTAGGATTCTAGAAATTTAGAGTATAAATTTTAGGTTTAATGTTTAGAATTAAAGGTTCGTGGTTTAGGATTTTAAAGTAAATTAGTCAAAAAAACTGGCATAAAAATAAATCATCCATTAATTTATTTATTTTTTGAATTAGTCAAAGAAGAGATATAAAGGTAAATGATCCCTTTAATGAAATTTATTTTGTGACTTTTGGCACTAGATGCTAATTTGGGAACAAAAATTTGGATTGGTGCTATTTTGGATTTTATTCCTTTGCATTAAGCAATCAGAAAATGAATATAAACATAATTCAAATACGTACGAAAATTATAGCTGGCTAAAATATTTATTAAAACGAATAATTGTGTACGGAATTTTAAACTATGTGATTAACAAAGTAAAATATTTTTATCAAGTAAAACTACTAATTAGAACAATGAATACAAAGTTTAACATTTTCCACTATTCAGCTTCAAACTCAGCAGTAGATCATCTTCTCTTATCAAATCATTTGATGGTTTTTTTGTTGGGTTATCATCTTCTACGATTAAATTTCTTTTGCGGAATTTATCATTATCTCCACCAGTTCAACACACAAATACTTTCTTATTATTATCTATATTCTTGATAATATGTATTTGTACCTATAATATTATGCTTCACATTGTAATTCAGTACTAATCGTCTCAAATAACTCGTTAATAATTTGATGCTGGATAGACTGTACTGCATCTAAACTTTACATTATCCGGCTACACCAACAATATATACCAGCATCACAATCTCTAAGGAGAATTCATCATTGATCATTGTTAATATTTTCAAATATCACTAGTAGACGTTCAAAGTAGGAAGAAAAAAATATTCAAAAAAATTATTAATTTTTATGAACATCCCAAATTTTGGAAAGAAAAAGAACATCCTAAATCCATCATATTTTCAATAAAGTCATCAACATAAGAGAAGATAGACACTTAAAATATACCAATAAAATGTTATTCTCATGAACTAAGAACAAAAGTGTATGCTTTACAATGATGAACTACATAATCTCTAGGGCTGGGACTTCGGGTATTCGGGTCGGTTCTGGGTAAGAACTGTTCGGTTTCAAGTAAATCAGTTATCTAGAAATTATATCCAATAAATACTTGGTAGAGTTATGGTTCGGTTTTGGACCAGTTCCTACTGGTTTTGGGTTGGTTTAGATTTTTCATAAAAGTAACCATATTCAACCCAAAAATGGGTACTAAATGGTTCGGTTAACTAATACCCGAAATCATATTTTTTACCCGAAATGTAACTGATTACCCGAGATGAAAAACAAACTCATTAACTGAAATGTAAAGAAATGCCAAGTGAAACAAACCCATTAACTGGAATGTTAAAGCAAAACAAAACAGAAAATAAAACATAATGTTTGATAGAAGCAGATCACACCAGAACAACTCCGAAAATGAACCAAATCACACCAGAAACATAAAGAAAACAAGTCTTATACAGGAACACAAATCACACTAGAAAAATGGAAATATTCGCTTACTCAGAAAACAAAATATTCACTTCCCCATCAAACAGCCGTAACTTTTATATAATCTGCTATCCAACCAATCACAAACCAACCGGCTGATAAAAGATCTGAGAAGGAAAATAAGTAAACATTAAAATACCCTTAACAACCTCGGTCGTTGAACATGATGTCACTCTAGTCACTGGTGATGAATCTGCATATCTTACCACTAATTGACAGCTCCAACGTGTTGTAATCATAGGGAAGATTAGGAAGTGCTAATTAAGGTTTGGATTCTTCGGAAAACCCAAGAAAACCCAGAAGCTTAGAAGACGTCTCTGTCGGCTATGGTTTTTCTACTCACTACCGAAAGAAGATGATAAGATACGCAAACAAAGTGATTGCATAAAAGAATTGTCTTGTTATAAACGAACAGTTAGACTAAATCACGAAAATCATTGTATAGATTTGGTTAAATCATACAAATCTCAAAGTCTCAAAAATGAAACACAGGTTCATGGTGTATGAAATGGATATGTATAAGTAGTTAATTGTGTATAATTAGAATAAATAATTGTTGAACCAAAAAATAAATTAATTAATGAATTGATCCAACAATCTTGTGTAAATAGATTTTTAGGATGATTCCCTTTTAATAGTATAAATACCGATATATGAGTCTATGAGGAAGTGATTAATCAAAACCAACACCGCATAAAATAATTTAGTCGAGTTTACAACACACAATATCAAAACTTTATTCTTTGGTAACAAAACATGTATCCACTTAAAAAGTGATCATTTGCGTTGGCAATAACATATGGTGCAATTCTCAATTCTCTTAAATATATGTATAATATAAAATAGAAATATATAAATACATACAAATTTCAATTTGACTGAATATATATATTTTTTTAAAAACATCACACCACATACTCTTAACTACATCAAAATATTTAACTCCAAATTATAAATGTCAAAATCCAAACATTAAAATTGAAATGTTATCTCGCACATTGAATACAAGTACAAAATATCAATAAATAAAAGTTATAACCGAAAGAATACTTCCACATTATTAAAGTGCGGATCAAAGTGCGGATCAAACTCTAGTATATAAATTATAATCTGATTCAGAAATAGTTACATCTTCTAACTGATAGAATTGTATAAAAAACATTATGCTTCATGTTCTGAAACGATGAGGTATAAGGAAGGAGTATTAAAACGAACAATTAGGCAACACGACGTCAGTGGAGTGGCAAAGCGTGACATGAGCACTCTACAACAATCCGCTGTGTTAGATAGCAGTCTCATGTCATAAAACAACCGTAAGAATACATCTTACGATTAATGGATCAGGACGTTACCCAAACTTAATATCACCAATTATTCTCTTCCCCTCAATAGAAAAAAAGGCCTTGCTTTAAATTATCTTTCTACTTAAATGATTTAGTAAAGGCACAGTTTTTGATTGAAGATGTTTGCATGCCGACTATTATGAAAAATTGATGATCTAAGAAATCAATACAAAAATCTATTTAATAATTAAAATGTTGATAAAACGGCAAAATTGCATAAGAGATCTCTTTTCTTGATATGTTATGCATATATGGTAACACATTAAAACGAGTTGACTAAATCTAACGTGCATATATGGAAATCATATATCGCATGTTGACCAAGTTAAAATAAATGAACAATTTCAGAAACAATCTTTAAAAGTGAATATGTTAGGATTCTTAAAAAAATGTAAATCAAGTTCTCTATAGATGTTAAATAAAAAAGTTAATGAAGTTCTTAATTTGGCATAGTACCTTCTTTTTAAAAACTGAAATATTCCTTTTATCATTAACACACAAAAGAAAACGGAAACAATGACATATAAGAAGGAGAATATATCCCTAACGTCAGATGTATATAACAGCATAGCTCGTGAAATACAGTAAGCATCATATTCATCTCTTCTCATCTTTCTTCTCCCACAAAGAAAAAAAAAACATGAAGCTCTTCGTTTCCGTTGTGATGTTCTTTCTCTTCTTAAACTGTTTCGCAACCGCGCAAACTTTGATTCGAGATTCTTGCAAAACAGCTGCAGCAAAAGACCCTAATCTCAAATATGATTTTTGCGTCCAGTCACTTGAACAAGATCCACAAAGCAAAACAGCAACAAGCCTAGCAGGATTGGTCTTAGCATCAACGAATAACGCTGGGTCCAAAACAACTTACGTGAAAGGAATAGTTAAAACTATTCTCAAGACCAAAAAGTATGCACCGGGTACTGAACCCGAGTTACGCACTTGCGTAGAGCTTTATGACGATGCTAATGATTCTTTAAATGAAGCCTTGACGGACGTTAAATCCGGCGATTATAGAAGTGCTAATGTGCATCTGAGTGCTGCTTTGGATGCACCGGATACTTGTGAAGATGGATTCAAAGAGAAGCACCAGACATCTCCGGTTACAAATGAGAACAGTGTTTTGTATCAGAAGATTTTGATTCCTTTAGCTTTTACAAATATGGTATGATGAATTTACTATTAGTTCATGTATTATGTATGGATTTTGTTTACCTAAAAAAATTAAGAGCAAATAAACTTATCTTAGTGGAAAAAGTTTGCGATATATACTCCCTCTCTTTCTTAATTAATAAATGTCTCTTTAGCCTTTTTTCTTGTTTTCTTGTTACATAAAAAGTGTTGTTTTAAGCTGGACTAGACAAGACTAACAGTTGAGCCCTCATGAACACTTCTCGTGTGGTTCCTTAATTGTTATTTTATTTGTGTATATTTTTTTTTTTAATTTATAATTCCATCTTTCTATTTTCACAGATCACTTATCTTATCTTTTGCTTGTAACTAGAACTTCTCTGCATTAGATGTTCATTCTTCCTCTGTATACCTCTGTTCCAGCGAGTAACCTTAACAAATTCATGACTTATTCAAAGATCTTAGGTTACTATATCTTTTGTTCAATAATATAATAACAATAGCTCTAAAACATTTGTTTGTTTTGAATTGTAGTCCCATTTAGTTCGTCTGAAAGTCTTTGTCTGAGTTTTCAGGGAGGATATAAGTTGAGGCATGCTGTTAATTATACAATGCTTGAAGATCAATAGTGTGAAAATAACATAACTTCTTGTAGTTTTGAACAATGTCCATATAGATTCTCAATGTCAAGTGGAAGTGATACGTAGACTTAGTAGCCAATAAAAGTTCTCACAAACTAAACAAGACATGTGAAATGAAAAACATAGTAAAGAGATGAGACAGTGATTACTACTCAGCTATTGATGTTGCTGCTAGGAGGTGAGATACGGACTTTGAGAACCAAACTCAGCGTCCCAAGCGATGTTGTGGCTCAAAAGTGGAATTCCAGGAACACGAAAGCGAGAATGGCTGATGGCTCCCATGAAGATACGGCAACTCTCATCATGCTCATACACCTCCCTGTTCTCACCGTAGAACTTAACTTCATTCTCATTGGGAAGCACCAGTATATCATCACTAGAAACACCTGGCAAGTCCACTGAAAAGACAAAGACTCCATCATCTGTTCGTTCTGAAGTGTATGAATGCTTACGACCTTTCACCACAAAGGGATGGGGCTCCTCCGCTTTTTTCATGTTGAACGAAGGTTCATCCATACTGTATCTTCCAGATTTACCTATAATTTATAAACAAACTAAGCATTTAATTAATGGATAATGCAAAAAAAAGATGTGATCTTGTGGATTCGAACCTGTGTTGGGAGGGAGAGTGTGAGTACACTTGTTGTGATGGTCTTTGACTTTGACCCTTGACACAATCATCCTCAAGACTCCATCTTTCATTTTCGCATCTACACCGGTTATCTCGCAGCAGTCACACCCTAAACCGGAGGTTCCGGTGTACTCACGGACGTTTTTCTTGTCGTCTTCGTCGCTGAGAGTCTCGCCGGAGAAAAAGATGACCTTTTGTCTAACGGAGTCGACTCTGTGGCGGACGGCGTCGTCTGGAACACCGGGCAAGTCGACACGGACGTAAAGGTTGTCGTTTGGGAGGATCTGGATTTCCATGAAACCCTTTGGACCGTATCTCTGGAACATGTTGTTGGTCGCGTGTATCCTCCCTGTGTTCCATTATAACGTAAACAGAACCACACAAGAAAAAGAGACAAGCAACGATATAACAATTAATCAGCAAAACTCATAAAGATGCAAACTTTTATTTGTTTTTGCACCAAGTAAAGAGATTATAATGGAGAAAGAGAGACCTGGGATGTAAGGAACTCTCGACATGTCAAGGATTGTTGCCTCAGCCATCTCTATTCTTCTTTCTCTGACTGTGTAATCTCTCTGTCTCTCGTTCGCTGTAAGAAGTGGAGTTTGTGATAGTTTTCTTGTTGACTGGTCTTGGGTCTTGGCTTGCTTATGTCGCTTACCTTTGTGTAAATGTTTTTTCTAACTGAGTAAAAACATTAAAGAAGCTCTCTATCTATGGTAAAACATTCATGAGCTGTCATTTTTTCTACTCCCCCCCCCCCCTCTCTCTCTCTCTCTCTCTAATTTCACATAACGACAAAGAGTCTATAAGGAGGTGATTAATCAGACCAACACCGCAAAAACAATTTTAGTCGAGTTAGATGACCAGTTAACACATAAGAGCAGCTGCAACGCAGCACATTGTTATCACTAACAACCCTTTTGGCTGCATATTATAATTACTAGCTCCTTTTTTTCTGCGCTACACGCGGATAATATATTTAAATTCGTTAAATTTATTATTTTTATTTGTATTTAAATTTTTGTATTTTATTCATTTTATTTGTATTTGCATTTTTTATTTTAAATTATATCTAACTAATTTTTAAATTTGATTTTTTTTTATATTTTCAGTTTGAAGTAAGTATTTAAAAATAATTAATTAGTATTAATGGATAATTTAGTTATATAATTATCATCAATATACCATGAAATTTACTATTTTTCAAATATGTTTCTATTATATGTAACACAATTAACTAATAAATTATGAAGAATCGAGTTTGAGGTTATAGAGTTATGTAAAAAATATAATTATGTATAAAAATTAAATTATCTTAATTTAAAAGATCGGAATCTCATCTCGAATAAATTCATGAAAAGAAAAAAATACTCCAATAACCTACTTAAAATAGAAAACTCCCTTTTCAAAAAAATATATTGAATAATATTTTTTTCTTGTAATAGTTGGAAACTGACACTTGAAGATCAGTCTAGAATAATATTTTAATATGTCTAGTGATAAAATATTAATTATAGCAAACAAATTTGAATTTTATAATATTGCATGAATTAGAAGTCTTTAAAATATAAAATATATTTTATTAACACAAATAATTTTTATTCATTTTTTAGTTTTACATTATAAAATATTTCTTTAGTTTTATTTGTATATTAGTTTTTAATAATTTAGTTTCTTTTTCAGTAATTTTAAAATTATCAAGAATATAATATATTTTTAAGAGAAATTTTATTAGCATATAATAATAAATATGTTTACTTTGGGAAAATTTTGCAATTAAATGCATATAATAATAAATATATTTTGGATTTAACATAATAGCTAAATTATCATAGTAGCATATATTTCAGTTTATTTTTGTTTGAAATTAAAAATTTATAATAATTACTTGCATATTAACAAATTTAGGGAGTATACGATAGACCACATAGAATTGAAGCACAGCTACGCACAAGTTTTATATTTTAATAGTTTATTTATTTAAAACTGTTTTGTACTATTATGTTCATTGACTTATCTAAGTTTATATTTAAGTAATAAACTCTGTCTAATTTTTTTTACTAATAAAATACATGAAAATACATCAATTAAATGTTATGTTTTTTTCACTCTTAAATTGTTTTATTATCCAATCTCTTATCTAAATTAGTTTTTACAGAATTTTAATACACTTAATTTTAAAATTGTAGACATTCTAATATCCAAATTAGTTATAAGTTGGAATGAAAATTATAGAAATCGTCAAAATGTATCACAGATAAAATCTTAAATTTTCAATTTTTATTTTTAGGATTAAAGTATGTTAAATGAGGATAATATTTAAAATTACAATATTAGTTGTACGCTACATTTAAATTTGAAGTACAAAAGTCCTTCTGTCTGGTTTATTTATTTATTTTTTGGTAAATTAATATGTAAGTTAAGTATTAAAATGTTAAGTCTTAACATTATTATTTTATCTGAGTTTATATTTAAGTAATAAACTCTATCTATTTTTTTTACTAATAAAATACATGAAAATACATCAATTAAATATTGTTAAGTTTTTTTGACTCTTAAATTTTTTTATTATCCAATATCTTATCTAAATTACTTTTTAAAGAATTTTAATACACTTAATTTTAAAACTGTAGACATTCTAATATCCAAATTAGTTATAAGTTGGAATGAAAATTATAGAAATCGTTAAATGAATCAGAGATAAAATCTTAAATTTTCAATTTTTATTTTTAGGATTAAAGTATGTAAAATGAGGATAATATTTAAAATTACAATATTACTTGTACGTTATATTTAAATTTGAAGTACAATGAAGTGCAAAAGTCCTTCTGTTTGGTTTATTTATTTATTTTTTTGGTAAATTAATATGTACGTTAAGTATTAAAATATCTAAGTCTTAACATTATTATTTTACTGAGATTCTACTATATATATATTTATATATTTTTTTATAAATGAATATATGAACATATGTAGTTACGATTTATTTTTTTTCCATGATTTCTTTGTTAGTAATTATAAGTTCTGGAAACTTTGGTAGTTCTATTGTTTGGTCATGGAGTAATGATGATGACCGTTTTGGACTATATATATAAAAACATTTACTTTATCTTTTTTTTTTGTAACTTAACATTCACCGAAAACAAACCGGGTTTCGGTAGATTAAACCGTGATATTCGGACCGAAATCGAAATTGGGTTTCGCATGCCCAAACCAAACATGACGTGGCTGTCTAAAGCCCTAATATTGGCCAAATATATTTGGTGATGTGGACATGGTGAGAGGGCTTTATTTGTCTTAATATTATTATTTTACTGAGGTTCTACTATATATATATTTATATTTTTTTTTTATAAATGAATATATGAACATATGTAGTTACGATTTTTTTTTCCATGATTTCTTTGTTAGTAATTATAAGTTCTGGAAACTTTTGTAGTTCTATTATTTGGTCATGGAGTAATGATGATGATCACTTTGGACTATATATATAAAAACATTTACTTTATCTTTTTTTTTTTGTAACTTAACATTCACCGAAAACAAACCGGGTTTCGGTAGATTAAACCGTGATATTCGGACCGAAATCAAAATTGGGTTTTGCATGCCCAAACCAAACATGACGTGACTGTTTAAAGCCCTTATTGGCCAAATATATTTGGTGATGTGGACATGGTGAGAGGGCTTTATTTTCCCCTTTTAATAGTGTATGATTATTTTTAACTTTTTTCATTTTATCAGATTTATATAAAAAAATTAAATCCGAATGACCAAGGCTTTTTTCTATTCTCTCTCTTGCGATTTCTCTTCCAGGCACAGTTTCAGAGAATAGACACTAACCACTGGTCCTTTCCCTGACCTTGCCTTTTACCCAACGTTTCTTTCCTTTGTCAACCTTTTATTCCCTCTGCAACTCTGAAAATTTTCAAAAGTTTACTTTATCCGTAAGAAACCAGCGGTCCGTTGATGGTTCTCTCTTTGACCTCCGCCTTCTGACCATCACCTCACCGGGTTCAGCCCCCGACCTCGTCGGCGGGTCAGCCAGGACTCCCCTGCGCCGGTTCCTCCTCACCCCGGTCTCTCATCAGCTATGTCTTTCTGCTACATGGGATGTGGATCTAGCTCTTATGGTTGATATTGCTTAGGGAGATGCAAATCTTGGGTTGTTAATAACCTATCTCTACGTTTTTCTACTTCTCAACAACTTTAAAAGCCTTAAACACCAGTAGCATTTATCTCTACCAATTTCAAGGCATTAACTGCAGAGATTTGGTGGTTATTACTGGTACGAAGTTATATATTGCAAAGGAGAGAGATCTACTTCGGCGGGGCTCTGTTTTATTGGAGTGTTATACTCGCCTTCTTCAGTCTCACTACCCCAACTCCTCTCTGCTCCCTTCACGAGCAGATCTAAAGGATGGCTCACCGCTACAGTCGTTCTGAAAAGGAAAAGTGGATTGCTCCACCTTCCCAGCCTGCAAAAAAAACCCCTGTTCGAATTCCAGATGGGGATTTCGACCAACTCATAGCAGCAAACAGACTCACTATCATTGGGAGAGTTACAAACCCTAATCTTCAGAAACCTCGCTCTGTTATTGACTTCTTGCCTCATGTCTGGAACTTAGAGGGGAGGGTTGTCAGAAGAGATATGGCTTTGGAAAAATTTCAATTTAAATTTGAGACAGAAGCAGACCTTCTCAAGGTCTTAGAGAATGGTCCATACCATTACAAGAAGTGGATGTTACTTCTCCAGCGTTGGGAGACTGTAGTTTCAGAGGAATTCTCCTCCAACATCTCTTTCTGGATAAGAATCCATGGAATCCCCTTACATCTCTGTTCGGACAGTACTATACTGACCATCGCCAAGGAGCTTGGAGTAATGACTAATCGTGATGCCACTGAGGCAAAACTCCGCATGGATATCAATGGTCTCCGGCCTCTAGAGATGACAATGGATATTCAACTCCCCACTGATTAGATAATTGAGATTGAGTTTGAATACATTAGAATCGAGAAACACTGCTTTACTTGTTTCTCACTCTTCCACGAGGAATCTGACTGTCCACAGAGATCACACCAGGCCCCACTTCCGAAAGACAGGAAATTGGGGATCACGCAAAGAATTGCTTTACAAAGAATCGAAGCAGAGAAGAACCGCCATGATGAGAGGCGAGGTTACCGACGTCCAGAAGAATCAAGACCTTCTTACAGAAGATCAGAAGATAGACAACACCCCAGGAGGAGGGAAAGGGAAGGGCCTCACCATCGTAGGAGGCAGCAGGATCGCAGATATGAACCCACGACAAGATCATTCAGATCTTCTGAATCTTTTCAGAGAAGTGAGTACTCCTCAAGACATCTTCGACAGGAGGAAAGGTTAAGACGAATTCCAGGCTCCTCTAGCTCCCACCGTTCACCTCTCTTAGGATCAGGCAGACTGGTGGACCCGATGGGAACTCCTTTGTTAGCAACTAACCATCAAGGAGACCGATCTTCTCATTCAATACTTTCACGCTCTCTAAAGGACAGGCTGGGATCT